ATATATCTATAATATATATCTATAATTGTAATGTATTATATATTATACTTTTAAGAAAGAGTATTGCAAATGCAGATGATTTGGGACAGCATGTACTTTTGTTAAATTCAATCATCCTACTATCTACGCTGTCCGAAATTACCTACATTTACGATATATATATTGTACATATATGTTTAAAAATTTTTTTACTATTTTATTTTTTATTATTTCATTTTCATAATTACGTTAAATAGCTTTAAACAATAATCAAGAAAATAATCAAGAAAATAATATTGCTAACATAAAACAATGTGAACTTACCCGCTGACGCTGAAAAACAGCCAATAAATGTTGGTCGGGGTATACACGGCATCTAGAGGTAAATTAAGTTTTTCATCCGGTGCTACTGTGCCCACGCACTCCACCTCGTTTCCACGTCTCGTCATGTAATAAACAGATATCGGCTGCGCGAAATGATTGTGGACCTATAACATGCAAGGAGCTAATTATTACTGATAAAATATGATTCGTTCTCCTCTATTTACCTGAAGAATGCTTCTCAGAGAGACGATCGTACTACCTTCTTCCACAATAATATCTGACACAATACCCCATTCTTCCGAACCATCCTTTCGATGCTTTAAAGAGAAGAATCTCTTATCTGCTCTCAACACAGGTATCGCCAATTTGCTTTGAATGCCTTTAAACTATTATAAATTACTATGTTAATTATATTAATAATGATAAAATAATCTAACATTTATTTTATTACTTTAAAACTCATCAAGTCATATCATGATATATTAAAAACAGATTGTTGATCTGTTTAATGTTTTTTAATTATGTTTTTAATGTTTTTTATTATTTGTAATCTGAAAGTTACTTTCAATCGCTTGTCATCGACTATTTTCTACATTTTCATCAATAGATTGACTCCAGATACGTCAAAGAATCATGAATACAGTTTTATATTCTGATTATATAATGACTTACAGATATGGAGAATTTACTATCTTCTTTGTCTTTCACGGTCTCCACTTTCAACTGTTCAATCAGACGCGTGTCAAGTAGCTTGGACGTCTTAGATGCAAGCTGTATCGATGCACCAGTTTCGAGAATTACTTCCATATATGAGTTGCTATGGTCTTTTATTATCGAGCCATCATCAAAAATCTGTAAAGGCATATTTTATATTTGTCTTTTATATTAATAAAATTATCATTTTATCATCAAATCAAATGTTAATTTATAAAATTACATTGAGTAAACAAGTGAATAAAAATGTAAGATTCTTTATTATAATGACCTTGAAGAAACTGTGCTCCAGATCGAGTATTATCGCCAGACCGGTCTCATTTTTCAGCACATACGGCGCCACTTTTCTGGTAGGACCCTTCCCGCTGGCCTCCATAGCCGAGGAAAACGATTGACCCAATTGTTTTAGAACATCTAAACAGGTCTTTGTGACAGTTATCTCCAGATTATCCTATCCCAAACAAAAGAGAGATCTTACATTCTTTCGGCATATAATTTCCCAATAATATTGCGCTAGCTGCGACAAATCTCATTAAAATTCACAGAAAATTTTGTATCATTTAAGACGAAACACAAAAAATATCTATAATCCACATCTATAATCAATTTGATATTTATATCCTGATAAACTTTGCTTACAAAAGACGTAATGTCGATAGACATCTTGGTAGACTGGTGTAATTCTTCGACTTCGCTCTCCGAAGTAGGGCTGACTGCACTAGCGCCTCTGGAGTCTAGCATTATATCATTAAATTGAACCTAACAAACAAATTGACGTCAATCAACTAAATATTTATTAGAGGTGATAGGAAGAATGCTAAAGTTACCTTCGTTTTCAATTCCCACGGCGTTGAGACGCGTTTACCGTTAGTGGAGCTTTCTGTTGGTTCGATCAATGGTTCCCACAACGCAAGGCAACTGTTATAATACGACATTATCACCGACATCGTGCAGTCCATGCTCATCTGCGAACACAAGTCACGTAAACCATAATACTCATAAGAGAATAATAATAATGATAAGGAACAAGATAAATAATTAAGGAGCAAGATTTCTCTACATCTGAATAGTGATTCTTATATGTTTTTAATTGTTAGAAAAAAATATAAAGTTAAAAAAGTTCTATCATCCACAAATTCTGAGAAAAATAACGAATGGAGAAAAGACATAAAAAAATGATGTTATAAAGGATATTAGATAATAATAAGCGGAAATTCTAAAAATTAAAAGGTGTGAAATTTTCAAAAATTATTCTTTTTGAGTATAAAAAAGTCTTACAAGAAACAGTCTTACACAAAAATAAAAAATAATTCATCAAAATTGATTCCTCAATATAAATAATAAAAAAAATAATACAAAAACGATTCGTAAACAACTTACAGATTTTGTGCTCCAATCGTTAATGTTGCTTTGGAAACCTACATGAAGCAGTAACATTGGCAAAGTTTTGTTGCCGACACCCGCCTCCAGAGTAAACAAAATTGTCGGCGCCGAGATAATAGCTAATTCGGGCTTATAAGGTGCTGCAACTTCGTCATCTGTATACGTAAACTCTTCGAATGCTTCCATCGCAACTTCTAAAATAAATTGATCCAATTTAACAAATAAAAATAAGATTTTTTTTGTATAACGAATAATCATCGAATTATCAACTTCTTATTAACCTGTCTTTAAAAACCAATAATTATTCTCTTCAAAAGGTGTAACAATCCACAATCCTTCATAATTAGGCTCAGGTTTAACGACTTCCTTGTCCTCTTCCTCTTTCTTTGTCACCGTGTGAATGACTTTATTCAATATTTCGATTACACCTGAAAATTGTTACATTTTATTTTATTAGGTACTATCAGTATGAAACTCGTAAATTACCTGGCGAAACAGACATGTGTATATCCGTGCAACGAACTTCTAAATGGAGCCCTTTTCCCTCTGGCGTAGAACCGGCTACACTAATACTGCATGGCCTCAAAACCTATGATAATAATTAACAATAATAACAATTAACATAAAATAAATATTAGGATGAGTTACTTTATGATGGCTTTGATTTACAATAACAATAATAATTTAAAGGGAATCTATTTATAAATATTAAACATGTAAGATTAAATAATTTTGTAAATTTATTTGACAATAACGATTTAACTATCTAAATTAATATATTTCAATTAATCATTAAAGTGTCAATTAATCATAACAAGTGTCTCTATAAAAAGTGACTGGAATTGAAAATTTATACTTTCTGAATAAAATTGAATGTTGTATACATATAAAACAATTTAATATTAACAACATAATCTTATAATTTAAATAAAAATTTTTTATTTTATCTGAATTTTTTTTCCAAACATATTTACTTCTTGTTGAAATAATTTTTTATCCACGTTCTAAATTACCGCTAAACTTTTTCATACATAAATATGTATATACGTAAATATATATAGAATATTATGTGTATGTGTGCTATACCTGATAGATCCAGTCAGCCCTCTTCGCAGGATTATATATCCCCGCCAGTAGCGAGAGATCTTTAATAGAACCCGAGATCACCTGATGCTCTCCCATAATACGCACCTTCAGCAACAATTCTGTATTCAGTACTATGCAATTCGAGTTGATATCGTCCATGTCTTCGAGCAAGATAATATCTGGCTTTTCCACGTGTAGATTCACAGTTAACATTTTGAGTGTCGAGGCGGCCGATTGCTGCTGCGCCGGCTTTTTCTTTGGTGCCATCAATTCATTTTTCGAAGAAGAAGTAACAGCCGTCTTGTTCAATTCATTCACATCAAAAAAATCCTTGATTTTCATAAGATAATCGAGGGAGACAATGATGCTGAAAGAGAACACTCGCACGTCGGCGAACGTGTCGTTCGGGCTTTGGCGCACTGTCACGTCCAACATACTCCTGGCATTATATTTGACGTGTTCTTCGAGATGATCCTCACTTGGCCTTGACAATGGCACGCTGCTGGTCCTTTCCATGATTCGCACCAGCGAGCCCTCTCGACTCTGCCGCATGTCATCTAGCGTGCAATTCATTAGAAGAATCGATGTAGCTAGTAAACCGTCTGCAAATACACGGCCTTTCAGAGCAAAATGTGTGAGACTGAAACGAGCCAGTCCATGCTCGGGCAGATGCATCGGTGACGTCTGCGACTGCAATAACTTAGAACCGCCGGTGAAGAGATTGATCACCAGACTATCCATAATAAACTCAAACTTCACGGATGTGTGAGCGTGTCGTTCCTGTGTTTCAATCAATGGTATTTCTCGCGATGCGTCGATCTCGTACTTGTAGACCGGTTGAATCTTACAGCAAATGTTAAATATATTTAGTCAATAACACTGTGCAACAAATTTTCAACTTTTCTGTTTTTCAACAAGTAAGGGATGTTTCTCGCAAAATTTTTTTATACTAAAGAATATACTTTCGAAAAAATTCTACATTCTTTAATTTTTAGAAACATTATTTTAAATTCTTTATATAATGCAGTAACATAATTATAAAAAATTTAACTAATTTTTGTAATATACAAAAAAATAATTAATGTAATGATATAAAACCTTTTATTAAAAATAATATATGAGAATCACCATTCAGTGTTGAGAAATAGAAACTTTGTCACACAGTGTAATTTAATAATTGAAAATTTTATAATTGTTGTATATTATCACAATGATTATTCACCTCAAGGTCTCCACTGTATTCGGATTTCACAGCGGATGGCACAGCTTGCACAGGTTTGGAGTCTTCAAAAGTCTCGCCCAGATTCTGCTCCAGCACTTTCAGAACTGTAACGTAATCCTCTTTACTCAACAGTAGATTGATCTTGTTCAATCTACCAAACATATCGATGTCCGGAATAGAAGTAAACCAGGCGGTAGAAAGATTTCGTTTTATTAGTAGCGTAAACGTTACTGGTTCCAGCAGCAATACCTCGTTCTCGCTGATGAATTGTTTTGTGTTCAGTCGAACTCGAGATAATTTCAAGTTCTGCAACTCGATTTTCATTTCATCAACCACGGGATATTCATCGACTTCCTCGTTCATTATATCCAGCTTTTTGAAGATGTTATATATCTATTCCCATAGAATTTTATAGAGGCGTATTTATTATTTTTTTGTATATAAGTTATATTTATAATAAGATTGGAAACAAGATTTATGTTAAATATTATGTTAATTACTTTAAATACGAAGCGCCACTACAATCTGTTAAGATGTTAAACTATTATATATATATTCACATAAATTAATTTCACAAATGATAATTGCTGATATGGTTATCAGACTTTCAACGCAATCTGAAATATTAATAAATATTTTTCACAATAAGTTTATTACAGTTTTTTAAGATTAATTTGAGAAATTTGGGGGGATTATTAATATTTCAGATTGATTGCGTCGAAAGTCCGATATATCAGCACGCAATTATCAGCACGCATTTATCGGCACGCATTTCTGAAATTAATTTATTTATATGAATTTATTTATATATAATAGTTCAACATCTTAATTCAGACCGTAGTGGCACTTCGTATTTAAAGTAAATTATATAAGTTATATAAGTTTTATATAAATTATATTTAAATTAAATTTATATTTTTTATTTCTCAAATATTAAAAAAATGATAATCTTTTACTCTAAAATATGAAACATTAGTTAAAAAATTATTATGTTCACACAATAATTATAACATATGTCTCATAAAAATAACATTATAAATCAGTCTAATGTAATCATTTATCGAAATTGATTCCATATAAAATTAATATGATAGATCTGTAATTCGCGCGCGCGCGTGTGTCTATTTAATTCTACAAAATTTCTAAATTCTTCAATTGGAACTAAATTGATTTACAATTCAGAATAAACTTATCATTCTGTACCATAAGATTGCCCATGTCTAGCATTAAGCTATGCTCGTTCTTGGAGCTCATCGGCACGTATACAATGGGTGCATTAATCCTAACATTTAGCTCGATGCGTGAGGCACTTTGTTGGACATCCTTAATGTTAGTCTTCGCAGCTTCTGCTGCCGCCGCCGATGCATCTTTGATAGCTTTCTGCGCCATTTGGAAATTGTTTAGGAAATTCATAACACTGGTGACGAATGCATTCAAAAAGACAATGCGATGGCAACCCATCGATATCTTGACAGACATGTTGTTCTTGTCTCTTTCCCATTCCTCGATGTTATACATTACCACTTGGATCTGATATGAAAATAAAAGATTTTCACAGACAATTACTTTTAATCCCAATTTATATTAGCTCTAAAATTTTCTAATTTTGCGGATCTAATTTACTTTAAATTAATGTATTTTTGTTTAATATAATTAATCGATTTTTTTCATTTTTCATTTCCAAAATGATTACAAAATAAAATTATGTAATTTAAAATTGTGAGATTCTGAAAAACATTTGTTACAAATAATTTTTCGCAATATAGTTCTGAAAAAAATATCTAAGCTCACTGGAGCCGCGAATGCCGATTAGGATTAAAGAAATAATTGAAAATGTAAAATAAATATAAAAGCACCTACCTGTAAAGACTCAGTACCCTCCACAGTCACTATATCCTTGTACATAGAAACAGGATTCAGATCTTTAATACTGACAGAAGTCAAATCAGCATTCACTTGCAAATACGAAGACTTGCTGAGAAAACTGGCGCTGATGCCTTCAATATAGAACGCGGTAATGTCTCGGGTGGTGCTGGAAATCTTCAGATTAATCGAGCCAATCTTGGCATTTACTTTTAGATCGATGAATTCAACAGTTTGTTTTTTACGTCGTCCGGTGGGTCTCAATCTTTGTTTCTGTAATTGTTCTTTGAGAAAACCAGAAGTTTCTTCCTGAATAGAGGTTAAACGGATCGGTCGAGAATGTTTGGTTTCTTTCTTCTGAATATCTTCGAGTGAGTTCATTGAGTCCTGAATGTACGTGCTAAATCGCAGCAGCTCGATAAGAGCTTCTTGATGTAACAATATGTCCAGTGAGGTGAATTCCAGTCGAAGCAATTTCACGACAGAACCGTGGCGCGTAATAAACTCCGGCGAGCGCTTGTTTACATTTACATATCGCATGATGATCAAATACTCGTCTCCGCCGGCCGACATCGGTGTATTGACCATGAAGATCTCCTGACCCTCGTATAGTTGCCGCATCTGCACGCCACCCAGTCTCAACTGCACCTCTTGATCGTACGTACGTTGTAACATTTCCGCCTCCAGCTGCAACACCTGGAATCTGAAGAGAATAAATTCAGAAAGATTTCATTAAAGTCCTTGCTAAAAATTTTTCTCAGAATTTTCATACAAATTAAATTAAGTAAATATATAGGCTATAAATCAAATTAAAATATAAAAATGTAAATGCTAAGCAAAATATATTAGTAAGCGAAATATATTACTAAAATATTAACTAAAATTAAAACAAAAATAAATAGAAATGAATATGTAACAAACGGCGTTTCGACTTCGATTGGATCATTATCAATGTTAGACATGTAAAAACTTTCAATAAATTAATAAATATAAATTAATAAGTATAAACATATTTGAAATAGCAACGGTTATAACTAAAAATTACAAACTATGAAAATAAAAACTTTTTTAATTGGACTTTAGCTAGATATATAAAAAGGTCTTTTTTTTATTATAAGCGACAAGAATACAGAATAATAATGATAAAGCAATATTGCGTTTGGAGCTTAGAGATGCTTATTACCATCTAAAATCCATCAGAATTAGTATATTTCACATCTCTAATCTGATTCTTGATAAGAAGAACTTATTATGTCTTGAATCTGTTATGCAGCTTCTTTATATATCTAACATATAATATAATAACAAAATTAACAACTTTTATTTTGCGAATCAAACTTTTAAAATTAATTAAAAAATTCAATAGTTGCAAACAAATTATGTCTAAAAAATCTCAGATTAAGTCTATCTCTTATACGTGTGTGGTATTTGAAATTTATCAAATTCAATACACTATAACGATCCTAGTTTTAGACACGTCTAATAAACTCAAAAAAGTTTTATTTCTTCTAATAATTTTGGGGAAACATCTTATCTGGACTCATGATAATATTAGTTCATTAATTTAAGTGATGTTAATATTCTCAGAGACGTTTAACTATTATTAATTGGAGAAGGTTTCGGTCTACTTATTAGTAAATATAACATACAAAGAACTGTGATCGAGTTCATAAAAAATGTAGAAAATAACATTTATAATCGTCCTAAGAATATTGTTAATTTCATCAAAAACAATTCAGTTTCAATTCTTAATAGATTTTCTTAACAATTTCCTTCTTATAATTCGATACATAAGCAGGTATCAACATGATTAGAATCTACTAATGAATTTATTAAAGATAATAATAATTTGCTAGTCACACGTACTGATAAGAGAAATGTAACCGTAGTTTTGGATAGAACCGATTATGTTCAAAAAATGGAAGAAATATTTTCAGACATTGATATATACATACACATATTTTAGAATAGAGAAGAATCCCACTAAGAAATTGACTAACGATCTGCGTATTATATTGGAAAAACAAAGACTATATAGAAGACTCAGTATATCAAAGATTATTGATTACAAATGGCAATTCTCCTATGGCTTACCTAAAATTCATAAGCCTGTAAAGCCTTATCTAAAATTCATAAGTTGGTAATCCGTTAAGGGTTATTGTTTCTTCGATAAACAGTTCTTTACTATTTTTCCCTATTTCTACATAATGTTATCCATAATAATATTCCTGAAAGACATGGCCAGGTGAAAAACAGCTTTCATTTGGTGGACAAGCTAAACGGAAGGTTTTTTGATCCTGACTATACTTTGGCATTTTTAGATATAATTTCGCTATTTACAAATGTTCCCATAGAATTGGTATCTCAGAGTATCGTGAGAAGATAGAGTCATATATCTATGAATACTACACCTTTAGACAAATTTCTTATAGCTATACGCTTTGTCTTGAATTTAACTGTTTTTTCTTTTAATAATGTATTCTATAAACAAATTTTTGATGTTTCCATTGTTCCTTGTAATAACCCTGAAATAGTATTATAAGATCTTGAGTCTTCTGCTTTAGAAAGATTACAATTCATCACGGAAATTGGGACCAATGGTAGATTGAATTTTTTAGACATCACTATCATTGTTGAAAATAACTCAATAATTTTTGATAGATATAAAAAACCGATTTGCTCGAGAAGATTTCTTAACTTCCACTCTCACTTATTATGTTATAAAAGAGGTTGTTGTCATAGGTGCAATAGACAGAGTTATATTGTTGTCTCATCCTATTTTCTAGCAAAAAAATCTTATTGATATTACCAATATATTTTTACAAAATTGTTATTCACTTCATTTCATCTTCTCCACTCAATAATAGATTGAATTATCATATTCATAGGAACAGCAGTACACAAAATTTTCACATTCTTAACAAGAATATTTGTGCTAAAAAGTTTTTTACCCGTCAAGTCTATTTCTGAAAGCTTTAGGCCAGTTGCTTGGAAAATTAACTATAATTTGGCTTATTCCATTTCCATACCCTAAAAAACAATATAAAAAGAAGTAAAAATCAGCTCGATTTTTTCTCTAATCAGAAAGTCGTATACACAATATCTTATGTGATGCTAGTTACGTTGAGCAAATCAAGAGAAAGCTAAAAACCAGACTGCAAGAACATATATCTGATATAAGGAAAAAAACGGGATCGCCATCAGTCATTACAAATCATCGAATGGAGTAATAATGAATTTGATTGGGATAAAGTGAGAAATCTTGATAGAGAATCTTTCTATAATAAATGCTTGATATCGGATGATTCATATAAAGAAGCAAAAACAGAGTCTGTAAATAAACAAAACGATACTGAATCTCTACATAAATCTCTCTCTTATTTTCCTATTATTTAGCCTCTTTCTCCTTCTTAGTTTTCTGTTCTTTTCCTTCCTCTTAATTGTCTTTCTCTTTTATTTTGTATCTCCTTCTTTGTGCCTTTGTACTTCTCGTCAGTTTTTCTCATTATAGGTTTGGATGTCAAGAAAGCTCTATTGCAAATTGCTTATTTATCTTATTGCTGTACACATATCAGTACACTGTTTGTATTTCGAGTTTTAAACCTTTTGTTCTATCGATATTTTTATATTCTGACTGATATAATTTTATTTAACATTGGAACTAATATATTTTAAGGTATTTATTTTAAGGTATTTATTTTTTTCCTTTTTTATATGAGCTCTTCTTTATCAACGAATATTTTTTCATACTTTATATTATTTTAACAGACTGATTGCTTTTTGAATCTCAATTTTTACAACCGATATTATATTTTTTCACATTCTGACTGATGTTATTAACTTAGCATTGAAAATATTTTGAAAGTATTTGTACTACGATTTCCTTTTTTATGAGCCTTTTATTAACGAATGTTCCTTATTTTATTGATGTTATTTTTTTTATTGATATATTATTGATTCTTTGTATTTATATTTTGATAGACTGTTTTATTATTTTTTTAGCTATTTTTCATCAACATGAACTTAATATATTAACTAATGTATTGCGAGATTTCTCTGTATTATCTTGCGCACAATTAAAGATCTCTATTGAATAGCAATATTTTTATTACTGTTGCGATAACCACAGTAGGTTATTTTATTACCTTTTTGTATATCCAGCTGAAGTTAGTACAATTAAAAAAGTTTTTATTTTCATAGTTTGTAATTTTTAGTTATAGGCCGTTGCTATTTCAAATATGTTTATACTATTAATTTATTGAAAGTTTTTACACGAATATTTTAATGATCTAATATTTTAATGATCCGATCAGAGTCAAAATGCCATTTATTATACATTCATTTCTATTTATTTTTATTTTAATTTGTTTTAGCGCTAATATATATTTTGCTTAGCACTTACATTTTAGTGTTTTCACTTGGTTTGTAGCCCTTCTTAATATATATTTAATTAATTAATTATTTGAATCATTTACATTATGCATTTTAAATTATTTATCTATATATAAAATTTTCATACATTTAGAACACTTTTTAGAAATAAGGAGAAAGTCAACTACTAGTCATCTATAAGAAAGTCAGCCTACAGTTTTTCTTAAAAAATTTTTTATATATGTGAAAATTTTTTATATACATGATAATTCTGATATATTCTAAGATTTCTCATTCTAAAATTTCTACGATTTCTGAAATATATTTTAAACTTAATTTTTTCAGATTTTATAAGATTTCATCAAACGATTATAGAACGAGGAATCTCTTGGAAATGTCAGAATTTACTTCGGTGAAAAAATTTTTAAAAGATGTAAATTCATTTTGAAAACTATTTCAATTTATATAAAAAAATCTGAGAATTTTCTCAGAAAAAAGTTATAAAATTATTCTGAAAAGTTTCTAAAATTTATATAAAAATTATGACAAATTATATAAACAATTCTCAGAAAAATTTTCATCAGGTGTCAATAAAAAATTTCAATATAAGATAATTAAAATAAAACGAAGCATCGTTTCAAACCTGATAAATTCCGAGGGTACCGTGACATTATCTCGTTGTCTGGAAACCGACAGTGTAAACTCCTTCATTTCGAATTTCATTTCCAAGTCAGTGGTCTGCTTTATTGGTGCAGTGGCTGTTGCTTGTTGCTGCTTTCTTTTGTCAGCGATGTTGGATATTGTAGTGCCCAGTTCCTTCAGTGATAACTGCGAAATGGACTTGGAGAGAGAGGTACGCTGCAACTCTCCAGGTTTTTCCTCCTGAGAAATGCTCTGCGCGATTGAGAGCGCCTGAAGCAATCGAACATCCGATATGTTCACTGTAACTGAAGGTAGGTGACCGAGGAGCCGTAATTTCGGCAACAAAGGATCGTCCGTCACTAGGCACTTGTGGAATTGAATTTCCAATGTAGTTGGATGGAGTAACGTCAGAGAACTCTCGGTATTTGCCAAGGCTGATCGCCATTCTTCATTCGGTAGCGAAACCAATATCTAATGCAATAAATTTTAAGAAAATAACTATTATTATAAAAAATAATATTATATACAAAATAATATAATTTTGAATTAGAAATTATTTTCAGAAGTTTTATCTATTAACTATTATTTATTTATTCTTATCACTCTGCATATCTTTTATTGTTTATTAATTAATTTATTATACAGGATGACACCTGTATATAATACATAGATCTAACACAAATGTATTTATTTATATAATATTTATCAATTTTTTATGTAATATTTGACTTCCATTTTTCATCTTTCCGTATATTATTCATTAATTTACAATAGTATAACTACTAAAATTGTAAATTAGACTATTAAATTAAACTATTATTACCTGAAAGTTAACTATCTTCAAAACAAATTTTTCATAGCTGTGCTCTCTTAGATGCAACAATACTTCCTCCTCGCTCTTGCCCATGCTAACCAACTGTCTAACGCTAACCCCAGCCAAGTCACTCTTGCCCTTTTCCAAAGAATGCATCTTTAGACTGCCTAAGTTTACAACAATCAATGCTTTCGAGTCTTCATAGAGACCTCCGTGCGGTATGATAAGTTGTGATGCCTGCATATCCACTTGTATGTCCAATATCGAATGCTTTTCTATAGCATATTCCAATCCGAGTGCCGACATTTCCTTCAGGCCTTCCAATTGTTCTGCCGCGGCTGTTTGCAGCTGACTCAGCGTGGAAGAGTCTTGCACCTGGAAAATATTCATCTATATTAAATGAATAGATTGCAAAAAATAAGAAAAAAATTATAAGATAAATTCAAGAAAAATTTTAGTTAGTGTTTAAAAAGTTCTTCTATTTTCTGCGAATGCATTGTGTATTCGAAGATTAAAAAGAATACCTTAAACATGTCGACTAGCTCTTTAATAGTTTGCGCGTCATAAATGATGTCGACAGATCGGGACTTGACGACTACACGATCACCGCACAGCCTATCGAGCGGATTCTTCTCGTAAGAGACCGACAGCAATGCGCAGTCAGAGCTACCATGTTCTGGGATGAAGAGCGAGGGCACCCGACCATTTTGTGTTGCGCCCAGTAATTTCATGTCGCTAATAGAAGCAGTGATAAGGATCGCGTTCGCGGATGGTCGTGACTTGAAGCCAGCTCGTACGCCATGTAGCTGCAGGTCTAAGACACACGAATGCTCCTTGTCCGTGTCCAGTAGAGAAATTTGCAGACCATGTAAAAGGAAATGTGTGTCGATCATCTCATATGTTTCTGGATAATGCGTGGGCGCGGAGTTCTCCTGATAGTCAATCGCCCGATAGAGTTTCTCCTTCTCCTGTGGTGTCATCGCTTCTTCGAACCTAATCATATCATCATTATTAATATATTAAACGTATCATAATATCATCATTATTAATATGCTAAACGTGTTATGTTCGTTAAAAATAATAATAAGCTAAGACGAGAATACGCCAATAAATGATCGCAAAATATATTTACTAACACAAATATAGTTATTATTTAAAAAAACTGACATCCTTTTGTCTATTATCTTATTTTATTATTGTTAATACAAGCCAGATAAAATTACTTTGAATTTAATATACGTCGATCTCACAATTCGTTAAAGACAAATTTTACAGGATAGTTGAAGTATATAAAAATCTCTAAAAGTATGCCAAAATTTTCTGAAAATTTGGTTTATTAAAATGTTTAGCAATAAACCTGCGCATAATGGCTGCAGCAGAGTTGAGCTCCTTCGTCTCCTCGACCTGCGAATTGGTCCACAGGAAACCGAACCAACCTCGATTCGCTTTCAGAGTCTTCTCCCGCTCTGCCAGTCTCTCAACTTCCATCTCGATCTGCTGTCGGATAATCACCAAGTTGAAGATGTCTAGTTTCCTTTCATAGTTTGTCAACCGTTCCTCGATCTCTTTTGCTAGTTTCTTCGTTGTCAGTTTAATCTGATAGACCTTGGCATAGGCGCGGCAAGTATCGCGATGAAGCTTCATATGATCCCAGTTCCAATTGCGATGACACCGTCGCACGGTTTCCTCAAGGATGCAGGTATATGCGAAACGCCACCATTCCTTGTAGTGACCGCGATATAATTTCAAATTCGGTCGATATTTTCGATATGGTGCGGCTTTCTGTGCCTGATCCAAACCCTCTCCCAACCGTACCAAGGTCTGATACTGACGCTTCGTTAAACCAATCCGTAATTTTTGCATCTCTAGATCCAACCATACCTGTGAAAAGAAAAGCAAAATATAAAATGATTCAATCTAATTTGAAAAGCTCTCAACTGTAAGGAGTAAATAATTTAAAAAAGAGTGCAACCGTTCTAAAAATAAATACTTTTTAATCATTTTTTTTTAGAAAATTATCAGGAGATATGATAATATTGCGAATGTCAAATGAATTATATATTGATCAGATTGATTTCCATTGATGGTTTGAATAAACTTTTTTAGAATATAAAGAGATTCTTTGAATACAAAAAATAATAATGTTAACTATGTCCAACGTACAGAATAACTTAAAAACTAACTGAACAATCTTCATATTTTTTTTAGAAATGGAAATAGTATCAATAAACTATCTAATTAAAAAAGAATTTATTTTGAAGTGGAAAATGGTTGACATAATTATAAAAAAGGCTGTTTTTTTTTAAATTCTATTATATACAAATTTTTCATATAATAAGAATGTCTTTTTACATCCTTAAAAAAGTTTACCCAGATATCAATAGTTTAAAAAAAAAAATTCATAAAATTCACTTATTTTAATAAACTGATATAGTGGAATCTTTCCTTGCCAGATTGATAAATTACCTTCGGGATGGTATAATTACTACCGTCAGACTCGGGCTTGGGATTAAGCCTGAGTTTAGACTTGACATTGATTGGTCCTAATAAATATTGGTAGCCTATTGGAGTATAGTCCATAGTTGCAATACCGCTACAAAAGAGATTGGTATACAAGGACTGCGAGCTCTTGCTGTATTGCTCCACGCTTGTATTGAGATAGGCAGCCAATCCATCCAGATTGCACAATTTGAAGATTTGTGGAATGACATACATGTCCTTCAAATTGCCAGTGGTCTCCCAGGAGTCTGTACAACTCTCAAGGACGAAGGTATTTAGCGTAAAGCCAAAGGAAAACGGATGATCTTTGAAGGTAACGTGGTCTTCGTACCGCACATGAATTCTCTTGATCTCCACATGAATATTCTTGATCATGCGAGCGACTAACTTCTCGACCATCGAGTCGTCCAGTTTTTCTTGCGCTGTACGAGTTAAAAAATTTTTAAACCTTATTTAAAAAAATTAAAATTAAAATTAAATATTGGACATACATCTTTGCACACACACATATATATATTTCTATAACTCAGATAATTTTTATAAAAATTACAAATATTTAAAATAAATTAAGAAGCAATATTAAATTGAATAAATAATTATAAAAATTTTATTTTTATAATTTTATTATCATACGATCACAAAATTCTAGACTTCTTTTTACTAATTTATTTAAAAAATATAAATATCTAATTACATTTTATCTCTGCTAATTGTTTCCTTTTTTCCACTCTCGCGAGTTCCGCTCGTTTCGCTTCCAATTGTGTTTTCGTTTCTTTATCTTCATTGTACGAAACTTGACTTGTAGGCACTACTAATATAAACAGTTCCTCAACTATCGCATCAATTTGACCGTTCCACATATCTTTGAATGGGATTTTCAATAT